AACTGTTGGAGAATGTGCTTCAGTCAGGGATCAGGTTCCAAAAGGAAAAAAGGAGACTGGATCAAAATTTAGAGCTTATTATGATTTCGAAGTGCGTGACAGTAAACCAGTAGGCATTTGCTTGGAATGTAAAAAACGAAGAATCGTAAAGATGATTGGACGTAAAGATGGGAGTACGTCAGGCATGAAAAAACATCTAGAAACTGCACACAAACAAGCATTCAATACTCTCTTCCCAGCGTCAACTCCAGGAAATGTGAATCCAGATCAGAGACTCATAACTGAAATGCATTCAACAGTAAGTAACTGAATTGTTTTATTTTTGTTTTTAACTTCAGAGTGATTCCTCTTTCGAGATGCAAGATTATCGTATTTTTACATTTTCACCACTTCACCACTCATATCAGCTATCGATTACTTTTTTCAAGTCGGCATCTTGGATCATCTCTGAAATGGGAATGAAAATAGCGAATTATGTTTTTCATTATTTCAATAGTCTCTGGATCCATTGCTAATCTGACATTCGATTGAATTCATGTCCCTTCATTAGCCACTCGATTGAGGGTGGAAATTCATTCCAGTTTTTTTTTCCAGAAACCCATGTCTCCTGGCGAGTGGGAAGTGGAGATTGTCAACTTCCTTGCTAAAAAACGTTTGCCTCTCAGTTTTTTTGATGACCCACAGTCCCAGAAGTTCTTTACCAAACTCAATCCAGATGTCAAAATGCCTAAACGAGACACTGCCAAAAGAATGGTCATACGTCAGCATGCCAAGAGAGAGGAGAAAATTAAAACTCTTCTCCATAACAATTCATCTAAAGTCTCATTCACAATACATGGATGGACGAGTTTTAATGGGAGATCTTATTATGGAATTACAATTCATTATGTCGGAAATGACTGGAAAATTCATTCACTAGTTCTTGATTTTGTCCCGGCCCGAGGATCTCATACTGGTAAAGCAATCGCAAAGATATTCTTCGACACTTTGAATAAATTTGATCTTCAAGGGAAAGTTCAAGGCATCACCGTTGATAACGCTTCTGCGAATACGACCTTCATGCTAGAGCTTGGAGTGTTGATGAATGACGCAGGTTATTCGTTCGATAATATTAATCAGCATTTCAGATGTGGTGCCCACATTCTCGCTCTGGGTGTACAAAATACATTGTCATTGATAAAAGTACAAGCTACGAAAGACGAAGGGGACTCTCCAGTTGAGCAAAATTCGATTGACAACTCAGATTCTGATAATCCTTCCGACTCATCCAACGAGTCTTCAGATGAAGAATCCGAGGATGAGGTTTTCTCTGAATTAAGTCCTGGTACAGCTGTTATCAAATTGAGAAATACTTTCAAAAAAATAAAAAAAACAGAGAAAATTCAGAATATGCTGAGAAGTTTTTGCAATGCTGCTGGGGTTAAGTATCTGAAACCTCCTTTGGATGTGAGCACGAGGTGGGGAAGCACGGACTATATGATCAATGCAGCATTGAGGATGAAGAAAGGCTTAAATTTGTTGTGGTCTGAGTGTGAAGAAGTCGTGAGTTTGAAGATGAGTGAAGACGAGTGGATCTTATTGACACGGATTCATGACTTTCTCAAAGACTTTGATCATCTTTCGAAGACTTTGGGAGCAGAAAAATATGTTACATTACCTCTCGTCGTTGTTGCTTTCAATATGTTGTTGGATCGAATTGAATCCACAACATCGAGTCTTGATTTGAAAGAGGAAAGGACGAAGGTTGATGAAATCCTCATCGAAGCGTTCCAAGCAGCGAGAGACAAAATAATAAAACATTACAACAAAACTAATTGGGTATATTGTGCTGCCCTGATTCTGGATCCTAGACATAAAGTTTCTACATTTGAACAAACTCAATGGGGTAGAGAGATGAAGGAGGAATCTCTGGCATTTTTCGAACGAATGTACAAAGAGAATTATACCAAACCTGAAAAACAAACTGTAGAAGAGGAAAATACAGAAAAGGAGACAAAGAAGAACAGCAGTAAGGAGAATGATGATCACTTGAAGCCTGGGGGAATTGATTTGAACTCAATTTTCACTGATTCATGTAAAACGAAACATTGGAGAGATGAACTCGAGGAGTATCTTAATCTATCAAGAGCTGACAAACACCAAGATTTACTTGAGTGGTGGAGAGCAAGAGAAAGTACATTCCCTACTCTTGCAAAGATGGCCAGAGATTTATTTTCTATTCCAGCAACATCAGTGCCTGCTGAGAGACTATTTTCCCTTGCTGGTCTGATCATCACCAATCTCAGAAATTCCATGAGTGACAAATCGGCTCGAGCCTTACTGTGTTTGCATTCTTGGGCATCTTGCGAGTTCAAAGAGTTCATAAATGCCCCATAACTTGTTTAGCCTTTATCTTTGACTTCATAAGTATTAAGTTTTGGAAGAAGTTTATACAAATATATAGAATATAGATAATGTACACATTGTACATATTGTATTCATAATTTTGTAGTTGTAAACGTTGAGAAAATAAAGTGTTCGTATCAAAAACATCATTTTGACTACTGTAAAATCAATCATGACTATGATGAGACGAGAGGAAAATTCAAAAAAAAAAATACTAGCACAAGAAAAGATGAATTTTTCCAGAAAATGGGACGAGACCGAGACGAGACCGAGGCGAGACCGAGACGAGACCGAGACCGAAACCGAGACATTTTTCTTCACGAGGCCGAGACCGAAACCGAGACGAAACAACAATGTCGAAGACCGAGACGAGACCGAGTCGATATCAAATTTTCGAATTTTTTCCGAGACCGAGACGAGACTTTCAAAAGTCTCGTCTCGTCTCGTCTCGTGCGCAGCCCTACATACGAAATCTCCACGTTTTGGATGATTCTGAGTCATCTGAGCCTAATTTTATGAGATCATTTTTTATATTTTTTTACGCGCAATTTTTTTTCACTGAAAATTTTGGGCCAAAAGGTGGTATGAACTCTTTCCCAGGGAATATGAAATCTCTACGTTTTCGAGAAACGGGAGGCGCGGTGAATTTTTGTTTTTTTGTTAACGCTGCAATGGGGAGGGAGGTTAGGTATTTTTCCTGACCCTTCTGACCCTTAATCGCATTGTGAGCAGTCCAAGGGAGGTGCGGGAATTTTTTCTTGACCTTTCTGACCCTAAATCGGATTGTTGAAAGTGCGATGGGGGGGGGATTTTTTTCTGACCTTTCTGACCCTTCTGAATCATTTTGGAATTAGGTGCATAGCCGCACGGAGTGGAAGGGGGTGGGGAGTGAATGTCGAAAACACTGAGCTTTCTGACCCTAAAAGTTCACTTTGAAAATTGGGTGTGTACTGCAGGAAGGCGTGAGTGGATTCAGATCTCCATATCTTGAAAATTACTGACCCTATTAATCCTCATGCAGCTTGTGAGAAAAAAATATGAAGGAATCAAGTGCGAGTGCAAAATTTTTCACCTGATGGCTCACCTTGAGAATTAGATGCTCGGTTGAACGGTATAGGGGGGGGGGAGATTGCGTCTCAAAAACCATCGATTTCTCTGACTTTACCCGTTCATTTTAGAAATTGGGTGTGTGGCAGAAGTAGGTGAGGGAAGGATTTTCAAGTCTCCATCTATGTCTTGACAACTACACACCCTTTTAACCTTAATTATGATTGTAAAAAAAATATATATTTTTTTATCGTTATTTTACATCGCTTCGACCCGGTTAGGATATACTGCGATGATGATCAAACTTTAAAATGGTTAGATCGCACCATTCTACTCGGCCGGAATTTGAACTCGGAACCTTTCGCATGTGAGGCAACGAACTTACCCACTGCGCGAAGCCACCGGTAAAAAAATATATGGAAGAATCAAGTACCAGTTGCAAAATTTCATCTAATAATGGCTCATTTTGGAAAATAGGTGCATGATCGCAGCGCCTAATTTGACCCTAATGGCTTGTTTTAAGATGGGGTTGTGGCGGGGGGGAAACCACTGACCATTTCGATCGCACAGCTCATCTGGAAAATGGAATGCGCGGTTCGGGGGAGGGAGAGAATTTTCAACTTCTTCAAGTTGGAATATTGTGACCCTTCTGACTGAGAATTGAAGTGCTGATGATCCAGAGTCCGAAAAATTGTACAATATGTCGCGGAGATTGGGGGAAAATAGGACGTTTTGTAATCTCTTTTATTTATCACTATCTTTGTTGATGAATGAGATTGTTTATTAGAAAAATATTGACCGAATGAAATTTACATTGGATTCAGAATGCATTTTTTTCCAAGTCGGTTCGGCAATTCTACAACGAGATAGCCGCAGTCGACATTTCTATTAATTAAGTAAATAATTATCACAACATTGAGTTTTTTCTTCTCTCGCTGGCTTTCCAGGGGTTCAACAAATCTCTGAAAAAATTGACGATTTTAAAAAACAAAATTTCGTATGTTCGGTAGCGGTGCAAAGTTTGCCGACTTTTACGAACCCTGAAAATCGGGGGGGTTTTCGGCTTCTCACAGCGATTACAAATTAACTAATCAAATTAAAAGCTCGAAACTCCACATTGGGCGCGTGAAATACTTATATTATACAGTGCAATTGGTCTCATATTTATACGATTTTTCTTTGCCGAGTTATAGACGTTTATTTCGAGTGGTCTCTACTTTTGACACCGACAGTAGTTACTGTCGAGCCCAGTCAGATTTTGCTAGTAATAGGAAATTATTTTGATTGGCCGTAAGTTGTTTTTTCAATGACAATTGTGTTTTACACCACTTTTCCCTATTTGTAAAATTTTCCAACATTTTCAATGTTATGTAAAATTGTCAATTCTGTAGTCTAATTTCCGCAATCTCGATTTTCAAGGGGTTTCCTAACTTATCATTTACTGAATTATTAATTTTATGTTTCAGATATCCTATATGTTTATAGTGTTTCACTCATTCAGGCCAATAAATATTTTATCCGGTCGAAACTATATTGGAGAGAAATTGATTGTGAATTCAAATGAAATATTATTTAAATATATCAGTTCTATCGTTGATGTCAACTCCTTTGACCTCTCTGGAGCGAAAGAAAGAGACCAGATCTGAGAGGTATAAGTTAAAAAGAAGGGGGCTCAATTTCTCACCCTGCAGGGCTCCTTCACTGACGTCAACCTCCGCTGAGGATCCTTTCTGGGTTCTGATGTGCATGGTAGAGTGGTCATAGAGGTTCTTGATGACTTTGATAATCCTGGAACTCACCCCGAGTCCCAGGAGTTCCAACCAGAGTTGATGCTGCGGTACAGAGTCAAAGGCTCTTCTAAAATCCACGAAGAGGGAGTAGACTTTGCCACCGGTTTGTCTCAGTCTATTTTGGATTATTGCTTGGAGAGAGAAGAGGTTGTCCACAGCACCTCTAGATTGGCGGAAGCCAGCCTGTTCTTCTGGAATGACTCTCTTCATCTCAGCCCAGTCGTAGACTCGCTCGTTAAGGATGGAGGTGAAGTGCTTGGTGATCACATTTATGAGAGCGATCCCCCTGTAGTTCAGGGGATCTCTCTGATCGCCTTTCTTGTAGATCATACAAAGGGCTATCTTGGTCCAAGCATCAGGCACCTCGCCTGTGATAAGAACCCTATTGAACAGGTCAAGGAGGATGGATTTCCAGTCCTGAGGCAGGTACTTGTAGAAGTTGGCAGAGATTGAGTCTTCTCCAGGAGCTTTGC